AGGAGGGAAGGAAGGAAGGAAGGAGGGAAGGAAGGAAGGAAGGAAGGAGGGAGGGAGGGAAGGAAGGAAGGAAGAAAGAGAGAGAGAGAGAGAGAGAAAACAAACCCAGTTTACTCCTTGTAACTTGAACACCAGGGGAAGCTGGCAGGAGTCAGTGGGAGCCAGAGAGACTCGCACAAATATATACACGTATACAAAATCATAATTGATGGGGGGAGGTTAATGAAGCACACAAAATCCCAGGGTTGACAGGAAGTGGAATTAGAACCACAAAAGCCAAGAAGACAGTCAACAACTTAAAAAACTCCAGATGCACTCACTTTATTAAAACTGAAGAAAAGCAGGGAGGGGGAAAGGGGACCCATGGATGATGAAATGGACTTAGGGGTATTTTACTGAGTCAGAGAAAGTCACTACTTATTTCATGTCGGAATCTCCACTGCCATTAAGTTCCAGAAATTCTCAAGCTTCCAAAAGGCAATCAGGTAATAAAACAAATAGAAAAGGAAACCTTCAGAACAGCTTATGATCATTTCTACAACAAAAATTTTTATGCCAAGAAATTTACCCTCATATAAGAGCCAAGTAGATGTGGAAAAGAAACTTTAGTTTTTTAATCTAGTGAGGTTTCTGAAGTTGAAGATATGTTCTATGCACCCCTTCCTCAAACAGTTTACAATAATGCTAAGAGCTCTAGGCCCTTACCAAACCAGATCTACCGAGAAGCCTACTATCAAAGGCCACCAAAAGGCAATTAGAGCAAGTACCAATGATTCATTCACAAACATTTCTTAAACATCCTCTGAGAGCAAAAACAATGCTATTGTGCACAAGAGGAACAGAAACTAGGGAGACACCGCTCCTGTCTGCAAGGAGCTTCTAGTCCAGGAGGGGAGTCAGACACATAAATGCGTACCAGATGACAATCAGGTACCACTGCAGATTATGAATGGAAAGCTGGGGGCTGGGAGGGCTGTGACTGGAATACTTAGGAAAAAATTCACCAAAGAACTGATACTTGACTTCATCTTGAAAAGATGTCAGTAATCTATTAAGTAAAGTAACATGAGAAAAATCTGTCAAACGTAGGATAAAGCAGGTGCAAAGGCAGAGGGGGAGGGAAGGACCTGGCAGGCCCAGGGAGACGGTGAAAGGTTTGGTTTGGCAAAAAGAGAGTGAGAGGGGAAGGGGAGACACAGTGGCTACTGAGAATTGAGGCAATAAGCTCAGAGACTAAGGGGGAAGTGCACATGTAAACAAAACATCACAATATGATAGGAAAAGAACATAACAGAACAAAGTATCGAACAGCATGAGAAAGGAGACACAACAGGGCACTTTGTTAAGCAAGGGTTCCTAGAAAAGGCAATGGTCAAGCTGAGTCTTAGAATATGAACATGAGTGTGCTGGGCAGACAGGACAGCAGAATTTATACCGAGGCACAGAGGCATGGAGTGCTCAGTGGTATAGTTGGATTATAAGGTGTAAGTGGAGATTCTAGAAATTTCTTAAAAATTCTAGAATTTCTAGAAAATTCAGCTGGGGTCAGGTCCTTAGAAGCCTTGAAGTCATATCAAGTTTCTATTTACTAGTTAAGCCTAAGGAGCCATGTGAGGGTTTTACAAGACATGAACATATCTGCATTTAGAAAAGATGTCACAACCTCTTCTTTTCCTATATAATTTCAGGTCCTGGTTTATCTAAGCTCTTCTATTCGGAGTCTCAACACCTCCCTTTTTTAGTGCCCCTCAAGTACAGACTATTATGATAATCCATGAAAGAGGTCAAGAATTATTAATTCTAGTTATAAAAATAACAAAGAAATAATTTCTATTGAGCACAAATTGAGGAGCAGACATTGAGCCAACTGCTTTGCACACATCATCTCATCTGATCTTCATGGTACCCTTGGGAGGTAGGTACCATCATTACTGCCATTTTAAAGTTGAGGAAACAGGACTGGAGTAACTTGCTGAAAATGAGAAAACTAGTAAGGGGTGCGAATGGCTTTTAAACTAACTCCATCAGGCTCTAACAGCCATGTTCTCTACTTTCCTGTTACCCAGCCTCCCGAGCAAGCCATGCCTTATATCCTGACTACTGTATTACTTTAAATATCCCCCCAGCAATGACCCTAGTGTGTTTTACTAACAAAGCCTACTACCTGCCGAAAGCCTAGTGGACTTTACAGACACTGACACTGGCAATCACTAAAGAGCTCACACCCACACAGAAAGGAAACGTGCGCAGGCGCCCTTGGTGCCTGTCACAGCCAGCGGGTCAGGAGGAACGGACTTCCTGATCCAGGAGTTGTGAACTGTTTCTTACTCCTTCTCTGTGCAATCGGAGAGTTATGGGTGGGAGAAAAGGGGAGGGAAGGAGGAAGAGGAGGAGAAGAAAGAGACGTGGGGGGAGAAAGCCACTAGAAAGAAGACTAACACAAAAAGGAGGAGTCATTGGAAACTGGGAGAAAGCACATACTGGTACCAGCCAGAGCTTCTTGGAACGGTTCCCAGTCTGGCTGCCAAAGAGCTCTGGAATATATTTGTTAAAGCTGGATTCCTGTACAGTCCATTGCAGGCTTTTTCTGATTGCACTCTGACAAAGAGACCCATACTTTAGTTCCAATCCCTGCTTCCCACACAGAAAGCTCGTGAGTCCTCAGGGGACCTCCAAGTAAGCCTACCACTGGCCTCTTAGTGGGACCTTCATGTGCTATGTGAGCCTAGAAAGAAAAGTCCACCACATACCTCTTATTCCTGTAGAATCACTAAGCCTCTCTACCCCAGGATCCCATCCCAACTTCCCAACCCCCTTTTCATAAAACATAGTAAGCTTCTTGAGTCTCCTTACCAAAACAACTGCTGCGGTGAGGAACAAAGGTTTTACAGGCTGTAGCAATAGCTAGTTCAGCAGAGATTATAGTCTTAATAATCAGGTCTTCCACATGGGCCATCAATGCTACAAAAAAAAAAAAGAAGAAGAAGAAGAAAAAGCAGCAGCAGCAGCAGAAGAAGAAGGAAGAAACACTATAATGCATGGAGTAGAAAGACTGGATTCCAGAACACAGTGTGATTATAAAAGCACATGTGCTCATGCCAAAAAGTCTCTAGGTGGCGCTCATGCAAATAGGCACTCCAGGAGAAGGTGTATCTAGGAATAAGTTGACACAGTCCAGAATGTAGGTGCGGGGGACTGTACTCAAGTGGCCTGCTACGACAAAAGATAGACATGGAATGGAAAGGAAGCCTTACTCGCCCGCTTTCGGTCTTCTCCTACCACCCATCTCTTTGTAGACTGAGCTTAGCCTTTTGCGCACTTCTCACTCTGCTCAAGGCTCAGCAGTAGTGTCCATTTTGATGCCAAGCCCTGTACTCCTATTTGACACTGCTCATTCTCCAATTCAGCAACATGAATGGGAGAGATTAACTTGGACAAATTTGCACTCACGGCCAATATGGAGAAAGTATTTCAGTTTGCAGTTCAACACTCAAGAAGGATTAATTCACTAAAGGCTAAAGGAAAAAGTTGTGCCTTCCAAACTAGAACAAGAAAAAGGATTTCGGGGCTCATGGAAAGCCTGTTCTCCATCTTGGACAGGGCAGGAAAACTTGACACCACCACCAATGACCCCATCAGATGTCTCAGTGACACTGTCAGAACTACAGAGGTGACTCATGCTGAGAGGCCAGGGCAGGTTACACAGAGGAGAGAGATCAACAGGGAAAAAGGCCTGGTACTCACCAGTTGTATCTCTGCCTTCCTGTTTCAGATACCTAAGCATGGCACTCATGCTCCATTTGTTCCCATAATCCTCCACCTCTGGATCATCACAGCTAAAACAAAGGAATGGATAGAGGTCACACATGCGAATAGGCCTGGCAGCAGAAATCAGATTTTTTACAAATACTTGTCCTTTTAATCTTTAGGAAAACATTCCCTTTGCTGACCTCCACTAAGCAACTTTTCTTGGTCGTTTTGGTCATATATCCCTACCTACCATTGAAATGAAAATGCATATGGCCTCCCTTACCGATGGGGGTAGGGGAGAAGGCAGCAAATTCTTCCTTAAGCAAACAATTATGTATCATGAAAGGGTGGAAGAAATGTGTGAAAGAATGTAAACAATTTAAGAGTGGTTACAATACATTAATAGAGTGAAATGTTCAGGGATACTAACCTAGACTTTGAGGTAAATGTCACATGAGCCCACAGAAGAACTTCTAATGCCATTTTCGGACCAGAACTGAGTCTGGGTGGGCTAGTGAGCTTATGTAGTGTAGCATTTTAATAAGCTAACCCAGCACAGAACTGCGTTAGCATCTGAAGCAAGCTCCCTCCGCTTCAGAGGTATACACAGCTTTTTTTGATACTTTCTGAGTTATCACTGAAGGGAGAATGCACTGGAGCCACAATGAAAGCAAAGAAGTACCCCCCTGCTAGAGCAGCAGACTGGCAAACAGGGTACACTGCCAAGACCATTGGAAGGGTCTTGCAATCTGGAACCCGTGTTTCGCAGCTGCCCCCTCATTCCCTACCACCACCCCACCACCCACTAGCTGCATGTCTGCTCATCTCCCAGAGTGAAGGATATGGTATCTTCAACCATTCCAAACACTGGTCACAGGACACTCCATGAAATCTATAGAGCTTTGGCAACTATGCCATCACTTCCAGATTCTTTTCTTCCTTTCCTTGGACCTTCTAGACACCTATTTTTAGTCTGGGTAGAAAGTAACTGTTTGGGTTTCTTTTTTATTTTTCCACTTTCTGGCAAAATTATCAGGATGAAAGAAAACAGAGCAGAAGGAATATTTCCACACAGCTGGGCTTGTACTCCCTTCCACTGAATCCTTTTCTGAGATGGCCTCATTTCTTTCTTCATTTAATTTATTCCTAACTTTTTCCCCCCAAACATACAAGTTTTTACTTCAGCACAGAGAAGAAAGCACAGAGAAGAAAACAGAAGTCACCCGCCCATAATCCTGTCCACCATAGTTAAGCACTGCTAACATTTTAGTATATATCCTTATAGTTTCCATTTTCTCCCCTCGGCAAACATAAACAGCTTTAGTTATCTTATATATTAAAAAAGAAAGTAAACTACAAGTAGTATCTGGCAACCTGTTTTTTCCACCTAACAATGTACAGTCATGAACATTCTCTCTGATCTTGTGCACACATCTCTTGTTATTTCTTAAGGTTAAGTTCCTAGAAATGGAAATGCTGGGTCAAAGGGTACCAATATTTTTAAAGCTTTTGATACATTTTGCCAAGTGCTGAAATAACCTCATTTCTTGACTTCTAAAAAGTTCCATATGCCTATTAAATTCCCACACGTAAGTCAAGTGAGAAAAGTTGGTGAAGACGAAATTTAGGAAGGCATATTTTGGTAGAGAAAGGTGACACTGTAACAAGGAGGGCAAGCAATGGAGAAGCAGCAGCTAAATGTGCTAAATGACAGACGGCTTCCCATAGGTTACATGGAGATAAATGCAGGACAGTGAGCTGACTTTCCACATCCACAACACCCACACGTGGATGTTGGCTCAGCTGTAGCCAGTACCTGACATAGTCTCCACTCTTCTTATTCACACTATAGTTTGTCAGGTGCATGAACTGGTTCCGAATGTTCTTGGCTCCTTGATCATACCGCACAGTTGCAAACCTGAGAGAAAGGACATTAAGTTAAATGTCAGGAGCAGGGGTTCAAGGAAATGTAGGCTAGAACTCAGGATCAATGTGGTATTAATAAAAGGAGAGTGATATCATTAACAAATAATGAGTGCTTGATAAGTGCTCACTCCTATGGTGCTTCATATATAATATTTAATTCATTCCTTAAAGCAAGTCTCTGAAGTAGATAATATTATATTTCATTTTTAGAGTGGATATAAAAACTAAAATGTAACCTAGAAAGATTAAGTAATTTGTCCAAAATTACACTAACAAGGTACAATATCCATTCTTGATAAAAACCCTCCACAAAGTAGGCTTGGGGGGGACTATACCTCAACATAATAAAGGCCATATATGAAAAAACCCACAGCTAACATCATCTTCAATGGGAAAAAACTGAGAGCTTCTCCCCTAAGATCAGGAACAAGACAAGGATGTCCACTCTCACCACTTTTATTCAACACAGTACTGGAAGTCCTAGCCACAGCAATCAGACAACAAAAAGAAATAAAAGGCATCCAAATTGGCAAGGAAGAAGTAAAACTTTCACTATTTGCAAATGACACAATACTATATACAGAAAACCCAAAAACTCCACAAAAAACCTGCTAGAACTGATAAATTCAGTAAAGTCACAGGATACAAAATCAACATACAGAAATGCGTTGCATTTCTATACACCAACAACGAAGCAGCAGAAAGAGAAACTAAGGAACCAATCCCATTTACAATTACACCAAAAACAAAAAGATACCTAGTAATAAGCCTAATCAAAGAGCCCAAAGATCTGTACTCTGAAAACTATAGAACAGTTATGAAAGAAATTGAAGAGGACACAAAGAAATGGAAAGACATTCCATGCTCATGGACTGGAAGAACAAATATTGTTAAAATGTCTATACTACCCAAAGCCATCTACACATTTAATGCAATCCCTATCAAAATACCAACAGCATTTTTGCAGAGCTAGAACAAATAATTCTAAAATTTGTATGGAGCCACAAAAGACCCAGAATAGCCAAAGAAATCTTGAAAAAGAAAAGCAAAGCTGGAGGCATCACAATTACAGGCTTCAAGTTATATTACAAAGCTGTAGTAATCAAAACAGTATGGTATTGGCACAAAAAATAGACACACAGATGAGTAGAACAGAATAGAAAACCCAGAAATGAACCCACAACTATATGGTCAACTAATCTTCGACAAAGCAGGAAAGACTATCCAATGGGAAAAAGACAGTCTCTTCAACAAATGGTATTGGGAAAACTGGACAGCAACATGTGAAAGAATGAAACTAGACTTTCTTCCATCATACATAAAAATAAATTCAAAATGGATTAAAGACCTAAATGTGAGACCTGAAACCATAAGAATCATCCTAGAAGAGAATACAAGCAGTAACTTCTTTGACATCGGCCTAGCAACTTCTTTCTAGATAGGTCTCCTGAGGCAAGGGAAACAAAAGCAAAAATAAACTATTGGGACTACATCAAAATAAAAAACTTCTACACAGTGAAGGGAGGAGAAAAAGAGAGAGAGATTAAGGAGTGTACTTGTTGTGATGAGCACCAAGTGTTGTATGGAAGTGCTGAATCAGTATATTGTACACCTGCAACTAATATTACACTATATGTTAACTAGCTGGAATTTAAATAAAAACTTAAAAAGAAAAAAAAAGAAATAGCACAGCCAGAATCAAAACCAAGGCTGTCTGACTCTAAAACCCATGCTCTTAGTCACAGTGTTGTTGTCCCATATATATCTGGTTAAATGTTGAAACAATCATGTCTCCCTAAATTGAATTATTTTCTCACCCTCAATATTGCTGTCTGCAAATCTGGCTGTTGTAATAATGCGTAAGTTATATTAAGTTCAAAGAATGTAACTTTAATAAATTCATAAATACCCCCCCACACACACTGACTCCACATGTTCTTAACCACAAGATGCTGCTTCTCTTATAGAACCTTAGACCAATAGGAAGGGTGAAAAATGAAAATAGGGTCGCCCACGCCTGGGAAATTGTGTGTGGGATGCTGTGGATGATGGGGCATTAGCTGGTCAAGAAACACCTAGTGGGTGCGTACATAGTGCCCGGCACCATAGTATTCTATGGAAAACATTAAGCAAAAAAGAAAAAACTGTTGGCATCACGTTGTACAGATTTAAAACTCATCTGTAGAAATACCAGAACTGATCTATAAAGTTCATTTTAAGAAATAATAATGGCAGCATTAACAGCACACAAAGCCTAGGTCTGCAAGAACAGCATAAATATGAGCATAGTGTAGGAGACTAATTCCTGAATTTGGAATGAAGGCAAAAGACAGAAGGATTAAACATGGAGCCCACTGAAAACAGAGCAGCAACTTGATACCCTGGACTGTTGTCAAAAGAAGACCAAAGTATAAAATATACGTGCCTCTGAAGGAAGTAACCAGGGAAAGAGAAAACTTTCCAGTGATACTCAACATCAACAAAAGGACACTCGAGTCGAATGGTTATGGTAAATATCAACCCCTGTTTACATACCACTATAACCATATCACCCTTCACTAAAGTGGTTTTCCCAAGAGGCATATCCAAGTGTGTGAAAAAAAATCCTGGAAGGCCACAAGTTTATTTTCATATGATTTACAAATTATTTACATATGCTTACTCAGACTATGAAGTCAACATGAATTTCTACCACATTAAAGGGCAGCATTTAAAAATGTTCCTCTTCTCCATTTCTTCTCACCCACCATCTCCGCTTCCTAATTCCCTGTGCTAGAAATATATGAAAGCCAAAGAAAGAAAAGTGAAAAACAACCCCCAAAAACCCCAAAATTAAAATAAACAAACATGAGGACAGGAAGAAGGATGTGGACAAAGAGAAAATGTTGACCAGGCATGTATGGTTAAGGGACAAGGGTTTAATGACCATTATGTCTGTGCATGAGAAGGACCTCTGATTTTTCAGAAACTTCCCGTATTTATCACCTAACTTCCAACCGTGTCACTCCATGGTAAGTAAACCTTATCTATGCATCCCAATCTTCCTTCTATAGACATTCTCCAATCAAGTGGGTGACTGTCATTCTCTGAATTCTAATGAAATGCAAAGAGGACCCACCCAGACATTACTCCACAGTGACATACCTCCTGCCATCCTCTCCCCCCAAAGAATAATGATCGAGAGGGAGGAAAAGGTTCTGCTTCAGAGAAAGAGGGTTTTCATCTCTCCTTGATATGAGGACCTGATCTAACTTGCTCGACAACCAGAAAAGACTGGCAAAAGCCTGGCAGTTGAGTAACCTGGTACTCCACACATCCGTCATTTCCACACCCCTTTTTTCAACAGGACTGCATCTCCAACAAATAAGGTTTCTTCGTCCTAATCTTCCTTTTCACTGAGGAATTTATACTCTAAACTCCAGCAAGGACAAGATTATTAGTGTCACAGAGTGGGCTTCTAAAGAGCATTGAGAAGTAAGAATTAGAGGAAACAAAAACAAAAACAAACTTAGGCTCAATGGGAAGTTACCAAAAGGGCCAAAAGCTACACTCTTTATTTCGCTTAGCCCAATGGGGAATGTAGAAGGCCACGTAGATATGCATGCTCATCTTCCCTCCTAAGTCAGGAAGATATTAGGGTTCTCACTAAAGCCCCTATTAAACAGACCATGTTCATCTCTGGTCACCAGTTCCTAACATTTCCTTCATATCATCTAGACCAGAGGTCCTACCAGCCTACTAATCAAGTTCTGATTAACCCACAAACTGTTTAAAAAAAAAAACAACTTGAATGACTTGGCCAGCATTTAAAAATTAGACCTTCCTTCCTACAGCCAGGACTTATATCGAGGAAGATGGTGGACAGGATAGGAAGGCAGCCCACAGGCAGTACATGGAGGTTATCTGTGCAGGGCAGTGGCCCACAGGGGTCAGAGTCCACACAAGGAGGGCATCTGAGGGGGGCAGTGGCCAAGGAGGTCCAGAGATTGGCTACACACAAAGGAATTGAGTGAATAAATATGCTGAAGATAAAGGGAGTCAGATTTCTCACTGTTGGAGAAGAGAGATTAAAAAAAAAACAAAAAAACAAGGAAAGGGAAAATCTAGAACGAGCCCTGTAGTTTTGAAGGAGAATTGGAAGTATTAATATAAATTCCACTTTTCAATATATGGAGACAGATAGAAAATTAAATACAGATGTCAGTGTGTGTACATGTACATGTCCATATATACAAACATAGATTTCCTAGGTCTGCCCATTTCAAGGACCTTAAAGCAGCAATATCCCAGAGCAATGAGCTTATCTAGCTCTGGATCTTGATTTCTAAATACTGTTCTCCATTAAAAGCAATCAACGCCCTTTGGAGAAAATGGCTGATTCCAGAGCTAGGGCAGAGAAAGAACGAGAGGAGCCTGAAACATCTTGTGCTCAAAGAAATGAGAGGACACAAAAGCCAGCTTACAAGGGCTCCCACTGGCCAAATCTGAGACAATATGACATCAAAATAAATCCTGATAATAAAGGATTATAACCCATTAAATAAAATAGGAATCCTTGAGTCCCCACTGGTATAAATAAATAAATGAATAAATAAACAGGAAGAAGAGACAGCTCTTCCTTGGAGTAAAATGCCAAATAATAAAAGGAAAAGGAATAAAGGAATTAGAAAATCGTCATTTGGCAACTGTCACAGTAATAATTCAGGCAAGAAACATCAATGGATAGTAAAATCACTGAGTAAAAACTAGATGAGGAAGGAGATTTTACATGGTCTCAAAATCTCCTCTGAAGATACTTATTAATGACAGAGGAGAAAACAAAGTAATTTTACAGCAGACAAATCTGGAAGACATCACCTTAATCAAGTGGTCAAACACCAATAAACAATTATCATGTGCCATCAGATATAATGCAGTAACAACAGCATCACTTCTGTGGAATTCTGGCCAAAAATACATAACCTGGGTCCACTCATGAAAAAATATCAGATA